GGGTGCCAATTTCCAGGCCCTCCCGCAATGCCCTTCCCCCTCCGCCGGCACACACCCAGCGAATGCGCCCAGGAGCTAGAAAAACAAGAGCTGGGCACGTCCCCAGAAGGTCCCCAGAAGAGCCTCCCAGTCGGTGGCAAAAGTAACAGTAACATCGCGACGATTTCAGCAACATGTGAGCCGCGGGAACCTGAGGGGTCCCTGTCCGCGCAGTGCGTGCGGTGATGGCCAGACCCGCCCTGCTCTCCGCCCTCCCTGGGCCCGCGGGCCGAGACTCTCCTCGCTGACCGGAGGCCCAGCCCTGACCCGCTGTGCCAACGAATCCTGCAGGAACAGCTCACGCCCATCCCCGGGAGGAGACGGGAAGGGGGCACTGCCCTGGTCCCCGCGAGGGGAGGCTCACGGGGTGCTTCCCTCCTGGGCACCCGCTCCCGGGGCAGGGACGCACGAGGTGGTCACCTGATCTGTGGGAACCACCAGCCTCGCTGTGGACGTGGTTTCTGGGGACCCACATGAGATCTGCTTGCCAGTGACCCCAAAGCCCCCGTGCTGAGCCTGAGGGTGGGTGGGAGCAGCCGAGCGAGGGGACCCAGTTCTCTCGCTCTGACACTCATGCACCGGATTACAAAATTCCAGTAAGACAAACGGACACACGAGGACAAGGCCTCACCGGACCCCCGAGGCGTGGATCAGCCCTGAGCGCACTGAGCGGAAAGACTCCCCTCACCCGGCAGGCTCTGCTCCTGTGCTGTCTACAGACCCGGGCCCACGGGCGCAGTGGGTGTGTAACCTGTGTGCCCCCGTGGCGCCAGGAGGGACGGTGGGCGCAGCGGCCACGAGGCAGCGCCTACCTGTAGATGGGGTCCTGCATCACCAGCATCTTGGTCTCGTCCCACGTCCACTCCTTCTTCTGCAACAAGAGAAACTGTACATGAATAAGCCAGCTTGTCCTCAGCCACGGACCAGCGCCCACATCGGGCCCCAGGTGCTCACGGGCCACGTGTGCTCGAGAGCCATAGTTGACGGCTCCCAAGGACACGTGAGGTCTGTCTCACCCGCCCCACAGGCCCTTCAGGGGGGTCTCTCCAGGTGCAGGGGTGACTCGCAGTCAAGACGCCAGAGAGGCAGGGGCGAGAGACGCTGTTGAGTGGCCGGGGACGCAGACCCTCCCTCCTCTCTCAAGGTGAGGGGGGAACTGGACGCAGCTGGGAGGGACCCTGCAGCCGCCGCAGAGGTGCTCATTGCGCCGTGAACGCAGGTGGCCCTGAGCTGCTGGGGAGCAGCCCAGGAGTGGGACCAGGGGGCGGGCACACCCCAGGTGCGTGATGTGTGGGGAGCACCCGATGTGTTGGGGAAGCACTGGCTGCCACCCCCACGCAGGGACCGAGCCCTGCCCCGCCCCAGAGGCAGTGCCATCCAGGCCGCTGGGAGGAACACTCTCTCCCGCGGATGAGAGTGAGGAGGGAGGCGAGGCCTCGAGGCCAGAGCATCTGCCCTGACGCTGTCAGCACGTGGTCAGCCCCGCGGGTCCCAGAGGCCGTGCACGGGCGCCGCTCAGGCCTGTGGAGACTGGGCCCGCCAGGCACCCAGGCACCAGGACGAACCACCTCGCAGCAGCTTCACTCACACACGACGCTGTCCACACCTGGCACGGACCCACACACAGAGAGGCACACACGCACACACACACACACACACACACACACACACACACACGCCACTACATCCCTGAACGCTGACTCCATACCAACCCAGCCCCCGAGGGCTACGTGCGAGCCTTCGGCATCAGGCCCACTTCCAGACACTGAGACTCAGCTCAGCTGAGACGCGGTCTGTCCGGAAGCTGCCCTTAGGACAGGCTTCCTTTTTGGCTTTCGGTTCATCCTCACCGGAGGGTATTTTTCCACTGGTTTTTAGAGAGAGTGGAAGGGAGGGGGAGACAAAGAGAGAGACATCGATGTGAGAGAGACACATCGATTGGTTGGGCCGGGGATCGAGCCTGCCACTGAGGTACATGCCTTGACCGGAATCGAACCCAGGACCTTAGCCCGTGGGCGGACGCTCTATCCACTGAGCCACACCAACCAGGGCCTGAAAGGTTTGGACCCACAGGGAGCAAATGTGGAAACGAGGAGACTAAACCATTTTCTAAGAGAGACCCTCCAGAGGCCCAGACCGCCTCCTCACCAGGCTGCGCACCGTGCTCGCCGGTCTCTGGGCTGCGTGACCCTGGCCCGCGGCCCCGCAGCCTGGCTCTCTGACCGGACCCCGATGGGGTCACTGGGTCTCATCCCAGGGCACAGGGACAGCCGACGTCCCCGCCCCTCCTGGCCTCTCATCCTATCAACACAGAGGTGGCGCGGGACGCTCAGGTCCCAGGCTGTCACATGGAGCCCAGAGGACGGAGGCTGACCCTGTGAGCGGGCTCCGCCTGTCCAGTGACCTCCGTGAGACAGGCAGGACCCGCGCTCCCTGCGCTCCGGCCGGGAGCAGACAGGCCCGAGGCTCCCCTTCTCAGGCTGGCGTCCAAGAACTGAGAACCAACCGGATCTGGGCAGACCTGTTAGACCACCTGTTCTGGGCCAGTGGAGGTGGAGCCCCCGGAGGTACCGGGATGGAGTTTCACAGTGAGTCACAGGCCGCGCCTCCCGGCTCCGCCTTCGCCCACCTGGTGACGGTGACACCTCTGCGGGTGCTGTGCGCATCGCGGGCAGGAAAGGTGTCCCCACGTAAGAACCAGGGGGGCCTCGGTCCCACGGTGGAGGGTCACACAGTCCGACATGGAATGAGCGGTCACAAGCCCTGCAGCCTGTGCGTTTCGAAGGGGTTTGTTCTTCATAAACAGTGAGTCGTGTCCTACTTCTCTCCTATTCACTTCCCAGCTCGCAGCCCGAAACTCTTCCTAGAACCCCAGGAATGTGAAGGGGTTCGAGAGAGCAAGCTTGGCTTCCTGTACGGGAGACCCTCTCAACGCCCGCTGTCCGGGCGACCGGCCCCTCGGTGCAGGGACGGCACGGAGGAGGGCAGCGAAGACGAGTCCTTGGGCTGTTGGGACTGAGCGATGGCGCCTCCAGCGTCGACGGAAAGACCCTCTCACAGCCAAGCCCCACCCGCCTTTTAGAAACACACCCCCTCCCTGCCCACCAGCAACCCCGGCTGTCCCAGACCCACGCCGGTCCTCCTCCCACAGCCACACACAAAACAGCCGTGGGTGTCACCACACGAGGAAGGCCTGCTCAGGCCACACCCCTGCCCTGCGGGGCCGCCTGCCTCCCGCACGCTGAGCACGGAGGACCTCGG